GATACAAATCACAATGATCCATAGACTATATATAATAAAGTATATAATGTACCTACTAAAATGTTGAAAAAATATTTTAAGAAAATAATAATTTTTATAGTTTATAATAAAAATGTATACAGCTCGATATTTTAAATAGACATTTTATTGTATAATATAATATATATATATATATATAGTACAGACAGTGAAATTCTTAGGATTTTTTGATGATGATCGCATTTCATGTATATCAGGCATGTTTTTTAAGATAGGGTAATTCCACCTGCATTGTTTAACCTGTCAGTGGCAACACCTTGCAGGAAAGTCTAGTATAGGATGTTCAGCGGTCTAATAATCAGCAGAATGTTTCTTTATTTGTTTGTCCTCTATTATAACCTAACCCAATAGCTACGGAACCGTTTTCAATAAAAGTTTTATACTTATAAAGTTATAACAATAGATATCTCAAGACTCGAGGGGTGTTTATACAGTTTCTTTTTTCAACCTCTAAAGGTTTTCTATACGAGGCACAGAAGGCACGGCCTCACATATAAATTTAATGTTGGCTAACAAAATTCGAATATTTTTTTGTTTATTTAAATGGTTTAAAATTAGATTAATTATATTAAAAAAGTCACAGTTCTTAAGAACTCAAAAAATAAATAAAATTAAGTTCAATTTTTGACAAAACTGGATAGGCGTATAAAGGAAAAATAATGATTTTTTCTCATGAATGTAGGTAACAATTTTCAAACTAACGGGTGACGTTTTACCCACCTTCTTGTACGGACCAATTTCTAACCCCTCACTATTTATAATATGTTATCCTTTACCAGCCTTCTGCTTAAACTTACATTACCATATACTACAATTGTATGCAAACAATTACAAATGTATATCCCAATTAAAAAAAAAAAAATATTAACATAAACATTATTCCTACAAATGGTTGATTTGTATATGTACCTAACAGAAAAACAAATGATTTAAACTTGTAACAATATAACTGTTTATAAGTTTTCTTGATTTTTTTGAAAGTATAATTTTAGAAACGAAAGTAAAATGAGTTAATCTATGTATTATAAAAAAAATTTTGAGACACTAATTTTTTCATTCGTTAGTTATGTTATTGCTTAATTTGATTGATGTGGACATTTTTTTTAAAATTTATTATCATATAAACATTATAAAATCCTTATAAATAACGATTTCCGCTCACCGGATTGTTTTCTGAAAATTTGATTTATATGATATACTATTATTGTGGCCTGGTGAGGCGCGGTCGTACGCTCAATATGCGGCAACGCTCTGAACGTACGTACCGGCCGTCGTTGCTAGCACTCGGATGGGTGACCATCCGGGTATTTGGCAGCACATCCTCACCTGCTCACATACAAACGTGTTCCAACCAACCGCCCCCTCCCCCTACATAGTTCTAGGCTAATGACCTTTGTAGTTGAAGCCTTAATCCAAAAAAAAAAAAATATATATATATACTATCTCTGCAGTGTCACACATTCGCACCAATAATGGTTTAAAATTGAAAGACATCCGCATGAATAGCTATATCTATTACTCACTTGGCTTGGCTATCTCATTTTAAATGCTTTTTTAAAAGTCTTTTTGGCTTGATAATGTTTACCTACCTGCAAAATTCACAATAATTCATAATATAATAGGTAATAGACAAAACTATAATATTATATTTATTTTGTAGACGGCTCAGGTTTATCAATTGTATACGTTGGAGCTGCTGTAATTAATGTTCGTATCATAATATTACAATCAATTTATTATAAATTATAATAGGTTAAATATTTTTTTTTTTTGAAGTTATACTAATATGATGTAATACAGTTCTAACATAATTGTCGATTATTATTTTACAATATTCGTTTTTTTCTCTTTTTTTGTTATTAATTAATAATTTGTTCATTTAAAATGCGCATCAATACATCATTTATTTTAATTTGTCTAATGTTAGTTACTTTTCTAATCAAGAAAAAAACCTTACTATAAAGATAAGCTGCATCACATGGGTGGTGGATGCAATTTATATTCGATAGAACATATATTGTATTATATATTATTTGTTTAGAATTTAAATACAATTTTCGCCATACTTTTCGATACAAAAAAAATTGTTTAGTTTGTTTTGAGTAATTCTTCTTTATTCGAGTTTTTAGTAGTACACAGATTACAGATGCAGCTACTATACCTCTAATTCATCTAACTATTATACCTAAAATATATCAATTTCATATTATGTGCATAAGAAACAAATTTATAGCGAACTATATATTTATATTTATACTTTTTTTAGGAATCTATGTTCAGAAATAATGTTTCTAAAAAACTTTTTAAAAAAATCCCAAGTAAAAAAACACCGTATACTTTAGTAAGACAAAATGCCTCTAGTAAATAGTATTATGAAGTAAATGATCATTGATCATATATATATATATATATATATATATGATATAATATGTACAATAATAATAATAATGCTGTAATATTATATAATATTTTGTTGATATTATAACTTATAAGTAGTAAGTATAGCTGCAATCTGCATTAATGAATTATACTATCCTTTTTAAGGATACATATAGTTAAACGTAAATACTAATTAAATGAAATAATAGAAAAAACATAAATAAATAAGTACACATTAAAATAATTCAATATTATGTGTATATATTATGTATCAGTTATCACTCATCACTCATCTAAGAGTCCTATAGTTAAATGTTGTATTTTAAATATAGTATATATGATGTTATTTAATCTATACATTATGCCGAAGGATAACGAAACTGGCTGACTGATCTATCAACGCACAGCTCAAACCACTGGATAGATCAGGCTGATATTCATATAGATATAATCATTTTATACTGTACATAGTTGGTACTAACGTCATTGTTTTTGACTATCATTTTTTCTATATTATATTAAATTTTTTATTTTCAGTGAAATAAAAATGTTATTATTGTTTCAGAACACTCAGAAATATTTTTAAGTTTTTCAAATGTTTACAAAACTTCTTCTATAGTTTATTTTATTTTAATGTAAACCATATACAAACTACTTAAATATTATAACAACTTGATAAAATAATCAAATTGATCTGTGATAATTCAGATAAGACTATACATATATATAATTATTTCATCGGGTCAATTCGAAGAGTTTCCGTCGGCCTATAAAATGCACATACCAACATAAAATCCACAGCGAACGTGTCCATAATAATGACCCGCTAATCGCTATATTATAATATTACATATTATTCTATTGGATCTATACGGCATATTTATATTTTATAATTAAGTACCTATATACATAATAACAATGTAATCATTTCGGTCTCTGTCCAGTTCGATATACATAATACATATAGACGGTATGGACATATAACACTGCAGATCATGTAGTAGGTATATATATACGTAAATAATATCATTCAAATTTCATATGATGCGCATTGTCAGTGGTATCGAAATATACTATATATATATATATATATATTTATATTACACACATTATTAAACTTATAAATTATTGTGACTGTCAGACTGACTGCATCGGCCCAACGCTGCATACCTATTATTATTGCAGCTGATCGCCGAAAGAGCCGCAACAGCTGCAACTGCCACTGTTTTATTTTTAATAATATAATATATTACTTCCCCTATATACTCGCTGTAAACACGCTACCTATATAATATGTAATTATTCGCCACCGCCCACCGGAGCAAAACAACGCAAAAGTAGTGCACATATGTATTTACGTATGTATGTATACTTACATGTATGTATATATATGCTGCAGTATATAGTGATACACTGATAAATACTATATCTGAGTTAGTCATATATAGGTAGTGCAGGAGGTGGAGGCACGACGTGAGGGCGTCGACCAAAGACGAAAACTCATACATACATTAAAACAGGTGTAGATATATATAAATAAATATAGGCAGGCATCGCGCGTACAATCAATATACGCTGGTAGGTAGGTATATGTAATCGGATTCCGCCGCGTGCGCGCGGTATAGCTGGTTATAAACGCACGTATAATAATATTATTCAATTCAATTATAAAAACAGGCATCCTACATGAACACCGGTAGCGACGAGCACGTGACCGTAATATATAAAGCGTACCTGTATAATATACAGAGGAAGAGCGAACGCGAGAGGGGGTGGGAGGTATAAATCACGCAACGGATATTATACAATATATATATATATATATATATATGAGTATGATACGTATAGGTATATTGTGCTTGTATTAAATCTAATTAAGGAGCTCGAGATGTGTACAGGTACGCATCGGGAACAACTGCTGCTGCTGCTGCTGCTACCGTGTTGGGCTCGAGGACATAACGCGTTATATTATTATAATGATATACATATTATCGGTATACAGGTATAACGTTCTGCGGTTAGTGACTCGGATATTAATGACAGCGGCGGTCTATACCTCTTTGTAGGTCGTGGTATAATAATATATATATATATATATATATGTATAAATAAGTTTATACTCGCTCGTGCGCGTCGAGCATCGTTCGCCGCGGGTTGGCGTACACATAGGTACGTAGATACTTACGTCGTGGCCACCTGCTCCGGCTAGGTTTTTTTTTCAATCTCGCGAACATCTGTTTCGTGTGATATCACGTCATTAAGTGTATTACATACTGTGGGTATACACCCCTTGACTTGTAATATATTATATATGATGATGAGTATATCATATTATACGAGTCGCACGAGAGTATACACAGCAAATCGTATCGTACGGCGTCGTATATAATATTATGTAAGTATCGAACAAGTATGCATAAAATATATATATAATATGTGTTTAATAAAATGTTTATATATATATATATATATATATCATATAGGTATATTTTATAATACATAATGTACATGAGTTTATTTTCAAAACATCTTTGGTAAAAACAGTTATAAAACGAAATGTCATATAATATAATAAACAAAAAATATTATTGCGCTATCGGCTAATATATAATAATAATAATCATATAATATGAAAAAAAAAAAATCAAAAAAATCATTATAACACCACGCGGCAGATTATTATCTGCAAAGGTTTATACGCACCTAAATCATGTGTATAATGGTCGGTAAAATAATAACAAAAATAAATATTTTTAATCCGTAAAAGTGTACATATTTAATAATAATAGGTGTACACACACCTATGGCATAATAATATATTATATATACAACAGGATGATATGTATCTATAATCTACATAATATATAGGTATTATACATTATAATATGCAAATGTCATTTCAAAAAGACGTCCACAGCATTGCAGCCGCAGAGTAGGCATATACAAAAAAGTTATCTAAGCTAAGAATCGATGCGATGGGTGGCAAGACAGTAATGATAATAAATCTTCGTTCTTTAGGTAAATATATAGAGCCTATAATATGTATACATATCATTATGTCGTATATAAGTATAAATCGCGTTACACGGAGGACTTGCACTGCAATATTATGATGTGTGATGTACCGAACGTATTTTATAATACATACCTACTCAATACTGCATCGATTCTTTGCAGTCACGTATATATAATATACAACAATAATAATAGTAATAATAATAATAATAATAATAATGATAGTGATAAAATATAGTCTTTCACCTTCAAACGTCTGCACGTACGCACTTGAGATCAAAATAATCGAGGGGTTAGAAAACGGACAATATTATAACACTGTATGTTGTGTATATAATATATTATATACCGTGCAGCTTTACTGCAAGTTCAATATAGAGTTGATGGAAAAGTCTGTGATCATTTTGGGCCTGCGTATGTTGCTGGCGGCGTCCCGTTGTTGTTGTTGATGCAAAACGGTCGTGTCCAGGCACATCGAATTCCTGTTGCTCCGATGACTGGACAACGTCCTGGACTGACAGAAACCTTTACCGCAAACTGGGCACCTGAATGGTTTTTCTTTGACGTGTATGTACCTGCGCAGACATACATTACACTATATTAATGATTTATACTACTACTATGTGTATTGCAGTATTGCGTGTATTGACCTATATATAACAATGCGGCGGAGGCGTTATGTATCGAAATAAGGAGGAGAACAAATTTTGGTTTTAAGAACGAGCTCCGCGGAACAAATATTTTTATTCAATCGACGTAAAGTCACGGAAATAAGAGTAAAATATGATTGAGTTATAAAGTTAAAACTTTTTTGAAGAAATGCGCTCTGTCACGATGATTTAATAAAATACGGAATGTCGATAAAACTGTATTGGGTACATAATATCATAACACATATATTATAGATACGGGCGTAGATAAATATATGAAAAATCGATAGGTAATCGGATTAGGTCAGGTCTGGTCGCGGATTAGAACCGCGGTATAGATACATATAGATGGGTACATATTATTATTATCTTTGAACTATTGTTCACTGCGTATATTTATACCTGTGATCTCTCAAGTGGTCCTGTCTGCGAAACGCCTTGCCGCACACGTCGCACGGGTAAGGCCGTTCGTCGGTGTGCGTGCGCTCGTGTATGAGCAGGTTGTACGACTTGCTGAACTCGCGCTGGCAGTACGTGCAGATGTACCGTTTCTTCGGGCGAGACGACGTCGAAGAAGACTGGGACGTCGTCGTCGTCGGCGGCGGCGGCAGGGGCAGGGGCTGCGGTCCAGTCGCGCACGCCGTCGTCTGCTTCCGGCCGGTGGTGGACGGTCCGACGCCGCAGATGGCCGGCACGGCGGACGGGCGATAAGCGGCCACGGAGCCGCGGCCCCTGCCCGCAGACCGGGCGGCCGCGGCCCTGTTCATGTGGTAGTAGTTGACCAGAACGTTGCGCCACTGATCGGAGTCCCGCCAAAACGTGGCCGGATTCAGCCATGCAGTGAGCGCGGCCGCGCTGGCCACCGAAGACGTGGTCACCGGCTGGCCGCCGCCTATGCAGGCGCGGCGCCGGTGGTCGGCCGCAGCCGCCGCCGCCGCCGACGACGACGACGACGACGACAGTTGTGGCTGCGGTGGCGGCGTGTCGGGCCGTTCGACGTCCACTATCGCCTCTTCGTCCGAGCTGGTAGCGTCGTCCGATTTGCCGCAGCCACCGAACGAGCGTGACGACGACGACGACGACGACACGACGCCGCTACCGCCGTACTGATGCCTGGACACCAGATTCATCTCCCGTCGCCCGAATAGGTGATGTAACAGCGATCTGAAATAAAAGACACGATCGTGATTATTTGTTTTATTTGTCAACCGACAGCACAATATTAACAGTGTAATATTAACAAACCTAACCACAATTTACTACTATAATATTATATAGGTAAAAAATAAATAAATAATATACGATTCATAATGATAACTACAAACTAAAAAAGTGAGCAGGCCAAAGGTGGGAAAAGTCGTTGCACTTGCACAGATGCGCATTATAATAATAGCAATCAAGTGGATCCTCCCATAATTAGTATTATGAATTAAGGAACGATCAAAGAGAAGGGTATAACTATAACATATTGTAATGTATTGTGGAATGAGGAAGTACTTTAAAGTTTATTATGATACTAAGAAGAAGAAGAGAAGGTCTCTATCGACTTCATAGGTAAGTAATTAGAGAAAGAACGTCAGTTGCACCCCTTCCGTTTACATATTATAAATTTTAATATTGTTGTCTATATATATTTTTATTATACAATAGCGAGGGTTAAGCTATAATATGTATGGACAAAATGTGCTTCGATATACTACCCATATAAGTTGGTACATGTACGTATAATGTGTAGGCCAGTTATTCGGACTGGTTCAGTTATATACCCAACGACGAAAACGCTTTATACATAGGTACCCGGTATCGCAATCACCAAGATTTTATTTAATATTGATTTACAGCTGTATACAAGCTATAATATACCCCACGGAGCTCATATTATTATACGCACTGTATGCTAAAGCAGTTTGGCGATTTGAATTCCGTAAGCATTTATTGATCTCGACGAAAATAATAGCAGGCAGACCGCTGATCGGGATATTTTATGACGAACGAGTCGTCGCATGTCTCGTGTAACGTGACATATTATATTGGTATACACGTATACGCCTAACAACCTCCTACAATACGTCCGCAGCTCAGTAATAATAATATGTACGGATGAGAAAACGGCGATTTTTTCGGATTTTTTTACACCCCATAAAAAATGGTAAGACGTCGAGCGTAAAAACGAAAAAAAAACCACGTAACACTCGACGAGGGCTTTGGTCGGACTCGTTGACAGCCATTATTGCGTATGGGTACATTAAATACGTGTGTAATCCTTTTCACACCGGCACAATGGAACCGTATTCACTGTGAGCTCTTTTCATCGTTCGCTTTATTAAAGAGTAGGTACCTCCCAATAATATATACCCAAACATATATATATATATATAAATATGTGCGTGTACAGTAGACTGTATCGGTAATTCGAAATTCAGAGGACAATAATATTTGAAGTGCTGCAATGCGCCCATATAAATGGTATATATAGTATATTGGGTACAATAACGCGTCATTATTTATATATTATGAAGATGTCCGACACTTCATCTTATTGTCGAACGGGCCATTTGTATACGATCAATTATGATTAACCGTGATTGTAATTTGACATTTCTTCGATACGGTCGTTTAGAAAAACTCTTGACAAATGAAAGCAAAAACTGCATGCATGCAGGTGAGTATAATAGAATGGTATATAAAATGGTATACGCATAACCCATGCACATTGCACACATATATTCGTAAATGTACGAAATAATTTTCTTCTCTGTCGTTTATCGTCAGTACCTACTGTAATAACAATAACAACAACAATACGATAATATATACACATAAAAAACATAAAATATCGTCAGAAGTGCATAATTTCACGAGTGCAATAATTATAACATTATATATAGTGCAGTGTGTATTTATAATTTATTATAATTATATATTTACCTATTATATATATATATACGTTTGGGCGTACGTGAAATAGTAAGTATTATGTTTCGTGATGCGCGTAAACGGTCAGTTCGCGAATTTAAAACTGTACGTCTTATAACAATAATGTACGCGTATTAGAATATCAACACAATTAACCGTAACGGAAATATTATAAATATTATTAATATTTCGGAAAATGTAATGTTATTATTATTGTTGTCGTTGTTGTCGGTCCACTCGTTCCGCCTGTGTATGGTTTACGTGTTGACGACCCGTCCGGTGCACGCTGCAACTGGAGCAACGGTGGCGGCGGCGGCGGCGGCGGCACAAATACGTCGACGACAACGTCGGTGGCGGCGGCGGCGGCAGCGATACGTTTAAGGGAGCTGACGGCGCGCGGGGCACTGATGCGGCGGCGGCGGCAGTGGCGCGCGAGAGCAGCTGCCGCCGCCGCGCGCCGCGTGTGTTGCGCGCCCGGACCACTCCCTGCCGCGGTGGTAGGCGGCGACACCCGTCCGCGCCCGCAGCCAGCCATTGGTGCGGCGCGCGGCCGGCTTAACGTTTTGCCGCCGCAGCTCCTACTACTATATCGTCATCAAATCCTGGCCACCGCCGCCGCTGACGCTCCTGCGGGGTCACGCGCTCGCCGGTGTATAATATTATGTACCGTTGCTGCGTACGATATTGCTGCCGCTGCCGCTGCTTCTGCCTCTGCCTCTGCCTCTGCCTCTGCCTCTGCCTCTGCCTCTGCCGCTGCCGCTGCCGTCGCTTCTGCCGCCGCTGTAGGGCTCTGTGCGCGCATATACGAAGCGACCGTACTCTTCGCCTAATCGCTCTATCCTCCACTTCGCAATTGGTCTTGCTCACACTTTCTCTCTTTCGACGCCGAAATCGACTTCCGCGGTCATATTATGACGGAGCTCGCGATTTACTGTTTTCCGTGTCTTTTTGTATTGTGCTCGTCCATGAAACGTTTATAGGCACTGAAAATAATTACAGATGATTTAATTTTCATATTACACTTGATTGAAACAATTTTAAATCCAATAGTGTCCGCACGTGTGGGGGACATGGGGTAATACAGTTGCGGCATAACAATAATCGAATAATAATAATTATTACTATTTATTTGTACAATAATAAATTATAATTGTTCATTTTATAAGATATATTCCTGCAACGCATGAAATGTCATACACCTCTTCGCGGTGGTATGACAGCATGTGCTCAAAAATTATCTATATACTCATTATTATAGGTGTTATGTATTTAGAGTCCAAAAAAATTGACGAGATTTAACTCCGATACCTATACGCGCGTCTCCTCGCATACTACATAATATGCTACTATATTCTATATTGTTATAACTAAAAAGCGTATAGTTATTTTACACCTACAGAAGTTTACTTGTAGTAGGCATATTTAGTCATTTTTATGTAAACTTTAACCTATAAGACTTGATCGTCGCGACGACCTCTGCAAAAGTTCCAAACACTCGGCATATCTGCTGGTGATTCAAATGTCAAAAAATAAAATCCAAATAGTTGGTGTATAGGGTGTATCTATTGTGCCTATATATACAATAATATTATATTCTCCGCCAGTGTGAACCTTTATTGCGAATAATATCTACGTCAGTCGTATTAATATAAATACTTGTACATAGTCAATATACACTTGCTTAGGTATTTCGACGGCTGAACCGATCAGACAATAACGTTTTATTTTCATCTGCGCGTGTTACCTGGCTACGAACTCTTAATCTCACAATGTTCGGTTTATGCTGAGCCGTTGAAAATATTTTAAACTATTTTAATCTAACTCTGCAGTTGACATAGTTGTAACTTATATGCCATATTATGTTATGTGTTCCGACCAAACCTGCATTGGGTCAGCTGTTATGTGTTTATGAATGGATCAGTAAGGAGTTGTAGTCTATAGAGGATAATTAGAGATATAACAAAACTGTTTGAAGAAGCAGCAGAACCTAAAACGAACTAAGCCGTAATGAAAGTGCCAAGTGGAATTAAAGTGCTAGGTACGAGTACACGGTATTGTAAACAATCGAACGCTTAATTTTCGTTTCCAAAGTATATAAAAATATTTAAAAACGTCTTCAAACGATCGTCCAGTCGAATTCGTTTACAATATAAGAATATTTATTAAAAAAATATCAACCTTAGTTTTCGACTAGAATATAATGAAACTGTTTCGTATGCCAATTTAATATTCGCCATTCGCGTAAGTTGTTTGTATGAGTACTATTTTTGATGCTCTGACGAAATACATTAAACACACATAGGGTACATAACAGACATTTTCGGGTGGACCTAGTGGACTCAAATCTATGAACACGTCACTGTGGCTATGTCAATATGTCGTACATATGGTTTTATGAAGTTCATTGACCAAATAAATTTGTGACTGTATATATTGTGATCATATAGGCTGTATTGTGCATTTAATATTCGTATAATTGCGGGCGCCTGGAAAAGGTTTAAATGCGTTCAATCAACGAAAACATTCATGAACACAAAACGTCTTCGAACGCTCCAACGCACGTCGCACAGGGCTCCAGCCTTATTACAGTAGGTATTTTAATATATTTAGGAAAATAGCAGTTTAGAAATGAGTATAGATAATGTCCACCAATATATCTATGATGTACATAATCATTATAATATAATATCTTTAAAAAATGTAAACATAATATTATGTGCAGTAACGCCAGTAAGTATGTATCGACTCAAAGCCACGCATAGTTGTCATTTGGATAAAAACAATATTATAATAACCAGCAAATAATGACTGTATATGGACTACGCAGACATACAGTATAATATAATGCATATTACATCAATTTACTAATTATTTATTATTATATACCACCAAAATGTTTTCTTTCTTTATATACGTCTTATCTATACCTATTACTATATTATAGTAATGTCGATTGTTTTTTAAAACACAAACCTATTATGAACCTACTTAATAATTTTAATAGATACTAGGTATTGAATAATTCAATAATGCGTATCAACTATTTATAGCTACTACAAGTCGAAACATTAATTTTTAATAGGTATATATATTAATCTGTAGACAAAATAACATCAAAGATAAGTCGAACCTTTAATTATTTGATATCCCATATTATATAAGTTATAATAAAGTGAAGATAATTAGAACAATTGTAGTAGGATCTAAAACAATATATAGGTACTATACATGTGTATAGTATCGCAGCATCTTACATATTATATTCAACCGATAATAATATAAAACTAATTTATGCAAATATCTCTCATAGTAACAATTATTAGTTTTATGATCTGTGAATCTGTATTCTATTATAGTAGGTACGAATTTCTATTGCTGTGTTAAATGTAATTTCATCATTTAATATCGAAAAGAAGCTGACAGTTATTATATCACTGTGTTATTTAATTATAATATAATGTAAGATTGACTGTCAACATTAATATTAGTAATTCATCATGATATTATAATTCATACAGCAGTATTCAGCAGTGTACACTATCTAATAATGTTTCGTTTCGCCAAAAAACTTTATTTATTTTACAATAATGAATATTAATTTTATCGAAGTTCATCGGTTGAATGGGATTTAAAATTCAAATAAATATATTACCTTCCCTTTAAACCATAAATCAATTCAAGTTCTGTTTCAAAATATTATAAATCAGTGCAGACTTTTTAACGAATGAAATAATAGAATTTTTGGGTAAAACTAATATGCTTTGTAGAAGTACAAACTAAAAAATATTACCTCAATATCTCTTATGAGACCCTAATGGCTAATACCCACTACGATGAATATTTATCGTTTTTATAAATTTTCATAAATCTTATTTATGTTTAAAATGTATTCAATAATAAATAATAACTTGTAACAAAATTGTATTTCGGTAAGACCGTTCGTTTTTGTTATTCACATATTATTGTGTTACTTGGTATAGCGCTACTCATCGTCATTCTGAAAAAGCACCGTACATGAAAAATGAGTTGAGTAACACCGCGTAAAACATTAAAGCGCGTTAAGACAAAATATACATCATGACATACGATCATATACAATATAATACAGCTAATACAAATATTATACGATGATCACACTGCAGTATACGAGGCAGAGTTGAAATATTAGCGCAATTTAGAGCGGTAATTATGATGAATGCGGTGTCCGCCTATATAACAATGTAGCTTAATTTATACACCTATAGGTCGTATGCGCACTGTGTACCAATAATTATATAACCATGCCCATTGAGTGCGTTTAACGTTTTTAGTTTGCACCAAAGTAAAAAAATGAAAAACTGACAATATAATAGAGGCGATCGACGAGCGTGTACAGTTCTGCTTTTGCAAATTGCAGGTAATTGGTAGTATTTGCGAAACCGGAAGAGAAAGCAATAATAGTAACGTAAGTGACCCAATGATATAAAATCGAATAAAGCGAATAAACACGACATTTCGGCGGCCAGTAAGATGGATGCTGGATGCTTAAGAGGGGTGGCTTAAAAGTCTTAGTCTTAGTCGATGTGACGTATTAATCTGCACTATCAGACGAGCCACGAGAACATAATAATATACAAATAATATAAATGTCGATGGTTAAAAACGACTGATATGAATGTCAGGAATATTACCTATAGTATCCACTGGAAAACGTCTAAACGATTTTTGAAACAGAGCAATCGTTGATGTGCGATCACGCTCGGCGAGTATAAAGCGTGATGTTGGAAAATCGTAAAGAAAACTCTATGGTACGGTGTGTCGAGTGTGCTTTTCGTCCTTATATTGTAAATATCATAAATCATAATATTATTATGTAGAAGAACTGTAGAAGTATGATTTCTCCTGCACCGCGGTGGTCCGAACAAAATTGTGCACAGGTACAATAGGCGAAACGCATGTTAAATATATATTTTTTGATCTCCCTGTCATACCGTATATGTATACCTGTTACGTACCTATCCGTGCCTCGGTTAGGTTGCATGGCACGTTGGGCGATGCATTTTTCATCACGCTTTCGTATAAATATAACATTTTATAATAATACCCGATGTATTGCAGTACAAAATCATAAGAAATTGTTTTTTGAATTTTCACTACAGCGCAGACTTATATAATATTATAGGCTGCACCCATATAGTCATTATAATAATATTATTATTGTCCTGAGCGGCACAAGCGGCCATATCATGTCATATTATTATTATTATTATTATTGTTCCACTATAGTATTGTCTCCGTATTATAATATACTTGGAACAATTCCGTCGCCGTATCAAAATCATGACTTTTGATGCGCTCCTAAACGTATATAGTGTGTACCTATGTATAATATTATACCTATCGTTTCCATTGTTTGTCCGCGCACATTACACACACACACGCACTCACACACATACTTACATGCATGATGTATCGCCCGTACATATATATTATAAATTATAATATATGCATCACGTACGAGCGTATAAACGCGTTTGTTTACGTGTATTATAATATTGTTGTACTCTGCACATCGTAGTATACTCGTCGGAGGGCTGTACCATTGTATATATAAAGCGCGTATGTATTATTTTTTATTTAATAACAGCCCAGGGCAGGTTTTTTTTTAATTACAGGCTCGAACCGGGGATGACACTCACACACACGCGCAAACACACAAGTGGAGGCGTAAAACCGTATCATTAAACCAAAGACCGCCGTATATATATATTATATTAAGCACGTCTCGTCGCGCCCTGACAATATAATATAAAAACCCACCGCGTATGTATAGGGATGATTTTTATTATTATTTCTCTTTTACATGTGTGTGTATATATATATATATATATTATGTACACGTTTATTGTCCTGACCGTATAAGTACTCCAAACCGCCCAACGCTCGGGGTATATATATATATATAATATATATATAGGCGTGTGGGGACCGACAGAGATTTCACGGATCTTAACGCCGCCGCCGCCGCCGCCGACGTTCGCGACCAATGGGCGCCGCCCGCAAGAACCCACCCTCGCCGCCTCCACTGATTTCAACCCTTATCGGCTGCAGCGGTGGCGGTGGCCCACGGCGGCGCAATCGTCAGTCACCCGACAACGGACCACCGCTCACCATCGACCGTCGACAATCGCATCCCCTAGCTGCCAACCGCACAATATATCCATCGAAATTCTGCACCATAGTATAATATAATTATTTTGTGTTATACGTTCGCCGTTGACAATCCATTGAAATATTACTCACAATACATACTTACCAACGCCAGCCGAGTATTGCAGTGCAGTAACACAGTATACAATATCTCGATCACGGAAACTAAGGTAAATTGTTATGATTTTCTAATGCTTTTTTTTTAATTCACAACCACCTTTATTTCTTGGAAAAATTCATATTTTTGAGTCGAATTACATTGATTAAGAACAATTATTAACTTTTTACAACATTTTCAAATTAATCTACACTGCGATTACAATAATAATATTAGGTTATTTATTCCGACCCCTGAAGTAGAGTTAAACATGCACATTACATGCATATTCATGCAAAAGCTGAAAATAACATGATTCAAGTTATGTAGATATATATAAGCCGCAAAGTAAATCCGTTCAACAATATAATACTAAAAAATGCATTTTCCAATAATTCTTATAGAATTATAATTGTGTAAAAGAGTGGGTAGGTACCCGCTTATAAATTTATAATACAACGAATTTAATGATTACAATAATCCTCATAAAATAGTATAATATCAGCAATATTCTAGACGAGTTATGACGTAGGAGCCGGCATAAAACGCGTACAATGTGTTTGCCATAAAAAAATGTATAATGATTTGATAAAACACTTAAAAACAAAACACCTGCACCCGTTTGACTATAATTAGGTATGTGTCGTTTTTTTTTTTCATCCCCTAATACAAAGCGTTTTACAGCAATAATAGCTGCAGCATACACTTATTAAATTCAATGCATTTTTTACCCAATTTATGTAATACCTACCTAATAATCGAATCTGAGTAAATATACGTTTTGTGCGATTTTAAAACGGGGCTCATTATAATATGTATATATATTATATAACTACTAGTTCATCTCTGAGTCCGAGACCTATTCCTGCGTGAAATGCACAGTTACCCGCCTATATAATATTGAACGTGAACCCGATAATCAAATTAAACTGCAGTACCCCAACATACGACCCTATGTATATTATGTATACACACATAGTGTGAGTCACGGCTACTATTCTACTGAAGGTGCTCGTCGTTTAAAATCAAAAACTTACCTATGTCATACAATATATAATAATGATAATAACCCAGTAATGAAACTCCTCCCGGTGTTTTCGAAACCTTCCACCGCGGTTTATCTATCGTCGATATTATATAGGTAGGTTCAGAGTACCTTTACAGCGTTCTCGTTCACGGCCGCCCGCCAACTATTCATTAAATTAAACATAATAAGTGCATGGATCCACCCACCGATCAACCTTAAACTTTAAAACTCCCATGACTATTTCAATAATTCAACTAAAAAAGTATTTATAGTTATAGGTACCTACGTCCTACATACATCGGCTATCTGCATTATCACCAAAATAAAAAATGTTGATATCGAGCTTAGCTGGTAAATGAAACAATATTTATAAAATCATAATAAACGTGCATTATTCGTTCGACAGTTTTCATTTTAAAAACCGTACTTAAGAAATATAGGATATTATACATTTATATCATTAATATATGTAATGTCGTTATTACGAATATAGATATAGGATGGATATACCTACTACAATAGTAGGTAGCCTAATAGCCTACGTATGTAAATAACAACTTATAACACCTATGTCAAAATATATATATATATATTATATACTCTTACAATATTTTTATTTTTTACTTCGAGTTTCGGAAATCCCTCCAAGTAATGCCCTCTCGTCTATTTAAATCTACCACATGTTACTGCCTTTCACTGCAGTGATTCTATCTTTCATGCGTCTTAAGCCTATAATAAATTCTTACCGAATCATTTGAATGTAAACGTGGGCTTTCTAAAAATCGCCTATAACATCCTTACCTGATCCACTTCAATGGCCATTCCAATTGTCTATTAATTCTGGTGCACATATACTGTCAAAGTCAATTTTTGTTTTTCAATTTATTTTTGCATTTTATGGCTGTTGAAACATTTCTTAAAGTCCATTATGTATTAAAATTGTAAACACCTATCACGTGTCATCACCTAAATCCAGGGCCGTATTACCGCTTAGGCTGTGTAGGCTACAGCCTAGGGCGGCAATTTTTTTTTTGGTGTGACCCAAAAACTACGTAGAAATATTAGTAAAATATCAATACCTATGTAAATTAAGCGGTAAATTTATTTCAGCCTATGGGCGGCAAAAACCTTAATCCGGCCCTGCCTAAATCCCAACGTTCTTCCGCATAAAATACGTTAAAGTGGTGCCCACTGCATATCCGTCCAACGTAATCAATATGATACAACAGTTTTATTGTATCCCAAGTGACTTACTACCGTGTGACACAAAGCTTCCGAATCGTATAATGTGTGTACGGAATCACCGCTGATTGAACGGCGGAGACGATGACTCTCGAACTCAGAATTCTTCCATTTCGTATAATAAGGCTTTCTATAACTTTTCTTAAAGTATTTGTAAAGATAGTACAGAAGCGGATGTAAAACGGCACAGAAATTGATATTATCAGTTGCATAATATTATAAACACATACTACACAACCACCTGCTAATTTTTTTGACCGCTACTTCGGGCCCTCGAAGACTTTCTAACTTAACTCATTTGCTATAACGGTTGCGCGTTTGTGATTATTTGCAGACGGACATATAGCATCACCACCATGATGGCCACCGGAGAATCGATGAAGTTCGCCGCCGCCCGATTCGGCGGCGCTGGAGGTCTGCTGGACTGCAACTTACCGTCGCTGTACGTGGACGCGGTCTGGGCGAGATTCCGGCGTCATCCAGGCGCGTTCGCCGGAGGCCAGATAGAAGGCTACGCCAGGGCCGTGGCCCTGTCCAGGAACGTCCAGAAGCAGATGGCCGCAGTGACGGCAACCACGCCTGGTGGCAAGCCCAAGAAACGGTACATTTGCACTTACTGCGACCGAGAGTTCAGCAAGTCGTACAACCTGCTCATACACGTCAGGACCCACACCGACGAGCGTCCGTACCCGTGCGACGTGTGCGGCAAGGCGTTCCGCAGACAGGACCACCTCAGGGATCACAAGTAATAACGAAAACACAATATTATTTGCTGTACAGACGAAATTCGAATTCAATTCCGCTTGTGTGTACTGATATTTTTTCATAAATTCGCTAGAAATCGATAACCCACATCGGCACGTATTATACTATACCTTTCAGACGACTAAAATATCGACATTTTTAAGAGCATATAAGGGGACTGCACCACTCGTATATATCTATGCGCAGTACACTGTTAGTAAAGTTATATATATATATATATATAGTTAGGTAATGTGGTGTTATGCAATACAATTTTAGAAACAATATATAGTTTTATTTTTAGTTGTATCACTTATATTCCTCTACTTTTGGTTTTATACTGTGCACGTCATCCTATATACGTACATTACACACGATACCTAACTGCAGTAGTTGTATATATATAGGTCATCATTTAATTTTTTCCACATTGAACTCAAAATTCGGGTGTCCGTTGTATGCAATACGCATGGATATTTATGAAAACCAATGCTTTTTTCAAAACACTTTAAGGGATCCCAAAATAAATAGTTTATCGTATAATATGTATGGAGTTGGCCGATAGCGGAACTCACACAGTATAATATTATATTAATTAATCAATAATATCATACAGTTTGTATACCTATCAAAAGTGATACTTTCTGTTTTAGATTACGCTTCGTATATATTTTTTTTAATTTCTAACGTTATTCCAACTTGTTTTTGCAGATACGTTCACATGAAGGACAAACCATTCTCTTGCGAATCCTGCGGCAAAGGCTTCTGTCAAATGCGCACATTGGTCAGCCACCGGAAGAACGCGCAATGCCAATGGTACCAATACCAACGTCACCAGGCGATAGCCACGCAGCTGATCTCCTCCTCCGGAACCGCAGGAAGTCCTGGCACCGCCGCAGTGGCCGCCGTGGCGTCCCCCGACACGGTCCGAAACGTAAACCTGACCGATTTCAGTATCAAAACTCTGCTCGGAATCGGCGAAGACCAATAACATAGTCGGTAGAGTAGTACCTGTTACACATAATACCGGCTAAAATACATATAGTTAGTGTACCATAAAATTTATCGCAGTTTTTTATACGGTGAAATGTACAAAAATAACGTAAATACAAGACGTTAAAAAATATTGTATTATTACTATTAGCTATTAATTATTATTGTATTGTTATTAATATTATTATTATGTTATTATTGTGTGTGATGTATATAGCATAAATGTATTATATTTTTTACGAATAAATTGTTCAATATTGCATAACGAGTTTATTGTATTGCAGTCGTGAGAAAACAAAATCCACATCGATATACTAATACAGCTACACATATTTTATGTTTAGTATATTATAATTTATAATATATTATAATATGTGTTACTTTCTCGCGTATTTCGGCCAATTTAAAGAGGGCTCACACAGTCACACGTCGTATTCATTACTCAGATATCCGTGAGCGGTTGTATTAGGCATTTAGGTGTGAAACGACATCAAACACCACACGGTCCACGGGACCTCCTCGGAGTCACCCAAGTACTAGGTAATAGGTGTATATACACGATATATTAATAATAATGTATAGTATTCCGGACACGCATTGGCCTACTAATATTGCAGGCGCTACGTGGAACATGTATTATATTAAAATAAAAACAGTAATAATATTTACAACAGTAGCCAGCAGGGCTGACGGCGTAAACTGCACCACTTGTGCGTAGAACGTTTGTGTTGCCATACACATATAGTATGGTATTCTGATTTCTGATAATGTAATATTATTATTATATCATGGCCCATGGGATATACCGGCTCATTTGTCACCGTCAGTGTTCTGAAGTGGAGTATATTTTTATTGGTAATATATTTTGGAAAATATTATTGCTGTACAACCGAGTGCAACTGCACATGTCATCGAATCTATTTCTGCAACCTATTGTTTTCTGGATTACCTTTGGAACAAAAAAAAAAAAAATAAAAGAGTTTGTTGCAGAGCTCGTTTATGTGGGGTAAGTATTGTGCATATGGTTCACCGCCTTGGTAGCTACCATGGTATATTTAGTCATACATTTTTTTCCAAACAATTATCAATAATATAATATATCCTATATATAAATGTGCAATTTTTTAAAAAAATTACAGGCTATTATAACAATTATTACATATTTCTTATAAATCACAAACTATTATAAGTACAACTTTTTTCAAAACATCGTCAATGATATTTTTAATTAATAACTTAGTATCAAAAATACACACTGTTTTCAATCTATCTACGCAATAATATACAAAACTTTAAATTCTATAGACTTAAAATGATAACTTTATTATAATTTAAGTAATATAACATATTATGTCGGTCTTTTAATATTTGTTACGCCAATTCGTTTTCGCAAAATGTTTAGAGAGTTAAATTTGGTCAAACGGGTTGTCGGAAAAACATACCTTTTTTATTTTGTCGCAAATAGGCCGTACCCAAAACGAATTAATTTTTTTTGAGCACAAAAGGGTAGGACATATAAAAGACAATATATATAATATAATATAATATAATATTATTATTGGGGTGGGGTGTGGTGCGATGTCTACGCTCAGTTGCTTACGCGCTCTGAGTGAACGCACCGGTCGGCGTTACTAGCTCCCAGATGGGTGACCACTCGGGATTTTTAGCAACAAACTGCTCGCCACACATAGGTACAAATACGTGTTCCAAACCAACCGTACCCCCACATATAGCTAATGGCCATAGTTGACGGGCTTTAGATAAATGACAAAAAAAAAATATATTATTTTAACTGTAGTTGGCTTCCTACAGCACCACTGGCAGTGGTTCCAAAAACTATCAAGGCTAAAGGAAGACTATACGTGTATGGTTATGATTTAAGCGCTAGGACATTAGAATAAAATATAAGGTCTAAGACGCACTCTGTAGCCTAAGGATGTAAAAAACCTTACGACTATCTGCTGTGACCGGTGATATAGATAGTGTGATTCAGTGTAAAATAATATTGTACCCAAATAACATGGCGGCAATTTTTACGTTTTTCTAAGTCTCGGGCTGTTAACTATTTTCGTTTACATTTTATAAAAATATCATAACAATTATACATTACAAATCACGTGAAATATATTTGGGGTAGGTATATACCCTATACCTCCTACTCGTGTTATATAGCAGTGGTTACGTTTTTTTGTAATATTAGATATACGTGTTTATAGGTACCTATAAACGCCGTGCAAAACGATGGGATTTTATATTATAGTGATGATCTTTAGTCGGCTGCAAGCGGCAGGTAAAAGCCCGGTAGGACGGTTACATTGTGTAAACGCTTACCTACCTACGCTATATTAATTATTATATAATATAATAATATAACTGCACCGACGGTCGGGCGTAATAACACAGAGGAGCCACAGACGGGACGACCGTAATAAACTGGCGAGCTTGTGGAAAAATCGTAAAACGCCCTATTTATAATACTCTACTCATCGATATTATTACTGTGTAGCAGTTCGTCCGTCCTATATATTAATATAATATAATGTTAAGACCGTCATCGTATAGATACTATTATTATTATTATTATTATTATTATTATTACACACATCCGAATAAAAACCATCGTGTTTACAGCTGCTGCACCGTGGGTCCACGACGGCAATACTACCTATTTCGTTTTGTTTTAATAATAATAATAATAATAATATGTTATATTAGTACGTGGGTACGTGAAATAATACTGCGTTTAAAAAAATATACAATGTAATATGACTTAATATAAGAATATTCCCGTCGTTAGCATTCTCAGTGCATACTTTATAGGCAATAGGCACTTTAATTATAGTACTTATAACTTATAACAGTACTATTTTGAATGAGTTTCAACTTGTAGTCAACCGACGACGGTTTGGGATACAGGGTGATTTTTTTAAACATGCGACGACGTATTTTGTCGAGATCATGCGAGTTGAGTCCCGATAAATGTCAGGGATTATAATATTGTGAATTGGGTATACAACCTATTAACGTTACCCAGAAGACACCACATATGTGGATGAGGTTGGCTAGAAAATCTCTCTACAATTTTGTTATTTGTTATCTTGACTCTGATGTAAAAATTATTAAATTAGCTTAAAATATTTTGGTTTTTTTTTTCGTCATTCATTTTTTTCATTTTAATGTAGTTTATAATACAGGTAAAAAATTTAAAAGACACATCTTTCACAGAACTTAACCGGGTTTGTTCACCACCGCTGGTAAAATAAAGCATCTTTTTTCTTAACGTTTTCTTTACTTCTGCTATTTTTTGGCTGTTTTGCAGAATTACAACTTACAAAGTAATAACAATAATAACAACAGGCAAAGTTCGACCTCGCAACAGTTGACGGCCAGCTACTAGTGCGTTATGTCTTGCGCTTGACGTTAATTAAGGTGCTGAAGACGACTGTTGAGCCGGTGACGACTACGACCAAAGCACGGAGCTAGGGACAAAGACTATCATACTGCTATAATATCGCGGTTTATATTTACCGCTGTGCTGTGGAATCAACGAGACCGAAGGCGTAGGTTTAGGCTGGCAGGATTAAATCACTGGACAAAAAAGAGAGAAAATCGGTGGACTACACCCCAATGTTCCGCTGCAGTTCTGATACTCTACGTGATTTTCGCCCTGGTGATCTGTCAGCGACTCGTCTGCGCATTATTACTCAATGGCCTGTATTCGATCAGACCACGGAGTGCCGCACAATCGTAGATTCCCAAGTACTTAGTACTTACCTACATTCACAATAATATGGTCATCGGTAATTTATTATTTTATAATAATTTACCTATTTAATCAACGCGGATAATATTGAATTTAATCATGCGTATGACAGCGTGTAGAGGAATTTTATTTTGTCAATTTTGTAATAACACGGAAAAGTTTAATTTTGTATTCAATTTTATGTATTTTTACATTTTAGAAACTTGTAACTGGCGTCAGGTTGACCGCCACCATATTATATTGCATTCATAATTACGGACGCCAAAGTTTCTCAACGGTCACATCTTATATGCAATCGGCGACTGAATAGCGAATATTGGTATCGTCTCCTGTCCAGGTGGCCCGGCTATATATAACAATATAATATTTAATTCCGGCTGGAAACCCGGCGCTTCCGAGTATTCAAGAATGATAGTCATGGATTACCCTCGACAATCTTCAAGGCGTCTTCCACAAGACCACAACCATCTTCAGGTCGCCTTTATTTCAGACGATATCGTCATATTTTATACTTGAAGTACACTCCCCTCCGCTGTCACTACATATCCTATGTGGTCAGTACTTTTGGATTGTCATCTTCCGTGGTGTGACTAGATGCACATATGTATAGGCTAACATGCATATCTGCAGGAAGTTCCCCGAAAGCCCAGGCCCGTTACCTAACCACCGGCACCACGATTTCGTGATGGTAGCGATCGCGGCGTTCTGTAGGGTCGTGTTGCACAGTCAAAACGTGCTGAGCGAATGGAACCTACGACCTATCGTGCAGACCGCACCGACCAAACAATACAGTGTCTAATAATTATACAGACATAAGTTCAGACTCGACAATAATAATCGAAGTCGACCATCGGCCGTTCCTGTCATTCCTATAATATAGGTATACCTATCAGGGAACTACATAATATAACAAGTGAAATCTATAACCGCGAAGGCATGGTCTGCTCTCCACCAACTGTTACTGCGGTTATGGTAAAATCTGTTGCTTGCCGCTGGAAATGCGAAAGTGATAGGATAGGCCTGCACGAAGCCGATCAGTGCTCAAAATTTAAAATTAATTATAAATCGTAACGATTTTAAACACGTAGGTATCTCTGATTATCATTTAATACAACGTACAAGACGGACGTTTTAAACGTTTGCAGTAGTTTCTTTTCATTTAGATATAAAGTGATTGAGATGGTTAGATTTCTACATTTCGATAAATTTATAAAATATTGTGTGAGTTCCTATATAGTCGTAGTTTTATATTCCGACTTAATTTATCAAGACGTAGCCCCGATTTTAAGTGTTACGGGACTTTATTTAAGTCATATGTGGTACACCTAAAAAGTGAGGAACTACTTGTTAGAATTATATGATGAATTATTTGTAAATTAATGTAAATTAATTTTCAC